CACGCCCCTGCCATCATCTCCTTCTCGTGTTTCTTTCCCCACCTGCTTCGCGCTCCCTCCCCTACCCGCGCGACACATGGCACTATAGGACAAGGCTTACAAATCATCGAACATCATAGAACTTGCCCGTCTTTTTTTTTTTCTTTTTTCTTTAGTTCGTTTTTGAAATTAATTCTTTTCGAAAATTTTCTTTAGCAGTTAGTCTCCTTTTTCATAGTAGCAATTATTATTTCCTTTTCAATTACCTTTCGAAAATTAATTAAACAATTTAGTCATACTTTTTTTGTAGTTATGAAATACTTATTTTCCAAATATTTTGCAATTCGAAATTTATTTCTTCGAAAATACCGTAACATTTTCATTTATTCCACGTAAAAATTGCATTTCCGTTTTTGAAATTCCAAAAAGTTTTTTTTGCAAACATTTTAATTACTTAAATAATTAAACTCCGAAAAAGAAACAAATCAACTTTTAAATCCGAATTCAACTTTCTTTTGGTTTTGAAAATTTTCGATTTTATTTTCCAAATTTTGTTCTATTTTTTTTCTCGAACTTAGCCTTTTTCTTTCCCAACATTTCTTTTCTTTTTCAAAGTAATTCGGAAATCCCGATTTAAATTATTTTCATAATTATCATTTAGATTCGTTAAAAATTCAAAATAACCCCCCCAAAATATGGCAAAGTTTTTTGAATTTTTTGATTTATCCCAATTTTAAATTTTTCCCGCATTTTGTCACAAAAAATAGCCCGAAATTTTTTATTGTCATTTCTTTCCGAGATTTTTTCCCTTTTGAAAATTAATCGACTAAATTCGAATTTCATTATCTTGAAAATTTAATTTTTCCCTTTTCCTTTACCCCAAATTTTTTGCAATTTGCAAGGAAACAGCGAGATGACAAATCCAGATTACACCATCACATGAAAAGCCAGATAGTCACACTGTGTCCAGAGAGCAGCATTGCACCAATAATACACCAATGGAGGTTCGTAGTACTGAAAACCAATGTCATGGAGAGCTTTCTCTCTCCCTCAGCAACACAAGAGTCCAGTCCCTTCACACTCCTACTTGGCGCCCAGCGCCCAGCCTACTCCTACACAACTACGATCACCCTAATAATAGACGATGCAACTGTTGACATCAGCGGCAACCCGAAGTACTTGAAGATGTCGCCCATATGCTGACCATCGCCAATACAAGGTAAGTGCCCTCACATCATCATCATCACCATCCTTCGCCCTTCCTTGACTTCAGCGGCAACCCGAAGTACTTGAAGATGCCGCCCATATGCTGACCATCGCCAACACAAGGTAAGTGCCCTCACATCATCATCATCATCATCCTTCGCCCTTCCCTGACTTAACACCCACACCTGTCCTCTCTTGCACCCGAAGACCACCCCTGCGCCTCACTATGTATCCAAGCCGAGCCTGCTATGAAGGCTGGCAATGGCGCTGCCCTCAGCAGCGCCCTGCTCCTACACACGACCGAACGTGCGCAACCTCTTGCTCCAATGCCGACAGCCAGCCCGCTAGTGATCGCTCCAGCAGCGCTGCCGCCAGCCAGGAAGTGATCGAATGCCGCAGCCAGGGCAGAGCTCTTTCCTTTATGGAAAGAAGAGTTGGCCTGCTCGAGCAGCCTGGCTGCATTGGCCTGGGCCCAGAAGCATCCGGAAGGCCCCAGGAGGCTGCCTGTGTACAGCAGCTACAGGGCTGTTGGGCCTCATTCGGTTGGGCGCCCAACTGTCTCTGTATGAGGCTGCGAACCACGCCCAGGGCCTACATTCTTTGGAAAAGCCCGGAAGGCCGTGGAAATGTCTGTGTTGCCCGGCCTGAGTTTCTTTCAACCAACTGGCGCATCGCAACTACCTGGACCCCAAATATGAAATTCACAGTCGGGGGCTCTTGCCTTATGTCAGGCCCGCCTTCACTTAGGGCGAGCACTTAGGACGGGCAATGCTGCAAACAGGGCCCCATAGGCCAACCGAGGACCCAAATCCTCGCATTCCCTCCTCCTTTACTTCGTAGGTCCTCTGAGAAGTCTCTTATTCAGCAGGCATTTTGCCTTCGAGTAATCTTCCATAGCCTGCAATCACTTGAGGTGCTGTTCTCACGAGTTCTTCTCGTGTGAACCACTGATCTTCTTTAGGATCCAGATGATGTCTGAAGCTCACACGATACTGCATTCTCGGTTTAGGAGGGCGTCCTCTGCCGGATGGTCGAGGAACAGGCATCACTCGATGCTCGACAATCTGGTCAATGTCCACTTCGCCATCCATGGTTGGGGGCAGCATTGATCTCCGAGAGGGAAACTGGTCTGTAGCAGCGAAAGGTGCCAGCTTGGATGCATGGAAAACAGGGTAAGTCCGCAAGCGCGCAGGGATGCGAATCACGTATGAAGGTCCATCCGGTTGATCCCCTACAATATCTAAGATCTCCTAGGGCCCAAAGTACTATGGCATCAGTTTTCTTGAGATCCCTATCTCCTGACCCAGTTCAGATGACCTCACCCAGACTCTCTCACCTACCTGAAAGTTAGAAGGCCATCTATGTTTGTTCTCAGATGCAATCATAGCATCTTGAGACTTCTTAATATGTTCCACTGCCTTCTGCAGCATCTGTTCATACTTGATAGCATACTCTATGCTGCCAAGGGCTGCAGTGGGTTGCCTTTCCGGTAGCAGAAAGTCAAGCGCAGTTCTGGGTTTCCAACCAAGATGTAGCTGGTTGGGAGAAATACCCGTAGTACTATGCATAGCGTTATTGTACAGGCTGGCGACGGTAACTGCTCGTCCCAGTCATCCTGACTTGGCTTAATATAATGCCGAAGCAGGTGCTGTACTACCCGGTTCATCTGCTCTGCCTGACCATTTGACTCAGGGTGATTCCCTGAAGTCATTTGGAGCTTGGTTCCCATTTCTTCAGTTGTTGCCTGCCACAGTTCACTGGTAAACCTTACATCCCTATCACTCACTATTGATGTGGGTAGTCCAAAATCCCTAACCCAATCATCCAGAAACAGTTTGATGACGTAGTCAGTTTTCGCAGTTTCTGGCATAGCGATCAGTCTTGCATATTTAGTAAAGCGGTCCACTATCACGAAGATATGCCTCTTTCCAGACTTACTGGTCACAAGAGTATCCATGAAGTCCATGGACACACTTTGACCAGGACCTTCAGGAATCGGCAAGGGCTTGATGAGCCCAAGCGGAGCCCGAGTCCTAGGTTTGTCCCTTTGACAGACCTGGCAAGTTTCAACATACCTCTTTGTATCTTGCATCATAGTGGGCCACCAAAATCTCTGCACTAGGTTAGCTGAGGTCTTTTTATATCCAAAATGACCAGTTGCGTCATGACACTCGCCTAAAAATAAACTACGTAAAGACTCACTATACGGGACACACAATCTTTTATTCCCTGCCTTCTCGAGAAACAGCAAGCCATCTACCATCGTAAATTCGTCCAAAGTCGTTTTGTCCTTTGCTTGGAATCTACGGATGATCTCTGACATAACTGGATCTCCCTGATAGGCTTCCACCAACGATCGAGTGAGTTCGTCAGATATGCCAAACTCAGTGACTAGAGCGCCCAAATAGTCTGCCCTTCGCGATAATGCATCAGCCACTTTGTTGTACATACCCTTGATAGGATCAAGTTGATAGTCATACATGTCTACCACTTGAATCCATCTTTTGAGTGCGTCCGACAGAACAGGCTGTGTCTTAATCCAGCGCAAAGTCTCATGGTCCAACCTCACATTGAAGAATCTCCCTAGGAGGTAGTGTCTCCAATGAACAAGTGCTCTGTACAGGGCGTAGAGTTCTCTCTCATACATGGACTTAGCTAACTTCTGGGAAGGCATCTTTTTACTCATATACTCGATCGGTCTCAACTTTGGCCCCTCCTGTTGCGCAAGGACCGCGCCTATGCCATATTGGCTGGCATCTGTGGTCACAAACGAACGATAATAGCCCATCATCCCCAAAAACGATCTGACCTCAGTAACTGTCTGAGGTTTGGGCCAGTCACGTATGCTGGCCACCTTGGCATCTTCCGGCCTCAATCCTTTTGCTGAGATTTCATGACCCAAGTACAAGATCTTGGTGCGACCAAACTTACATTTGTCCAAGTTTACCTTGTACTGGTGCTGTCGTAAGAGACCAAGCACTATTTTCAAGTGCTCAGCGTGCTCCTCTACAGTCCTACTAAAGATAAGAATATCATCGAGGTACACGACGATAAACTTGTCTAAGTACTCATGAAATATCTTGTTCATCGCGTGCTGGAATGTACCAGGTGCATTGCATAGACCAAAGGGCATCACCACAAACTCGTACAGACCGTACCTGGTCTCAAATGTGGTTTTGTGCTGGTACTCAGGTCTAACGGCAATTTGATGGTATCCGGACTTCAGATCTATCTTGGTGAAGTACCGACATCCCTGCACTCTATCCAAGAGGTCGTCGATGCGGGGTAGGGGCTCGACGTTCTTTACGGTGATGGCATTGAGGCCCCTATAGTCAATGCACATCCTTAATGGACCTCCCTTCTTTGGGACAAATAAAACTGGCGCACCGTAAGGGGAGGTACTAGGCCGGATCCATCCCTTCTCTGTGAGCTCCTTGAGCTCGCGGCGAAGCTCATCTAACTCCGCAGGAGACATCCTATAGCTTCGTCCTCTAGACACCTTACTACCTGGGACAACCTCTATTGCATGGACAACCTCCCTTTTTACCACGCCTGTGGGCTCCTCAAAAAGGTTTTGAGCGACGACTTTTTCTATCTCTGGGGGTGATTTAACGACCTCCCCTCTCAGAAACAAACACTAAATACATGCCCTCCTCGCGATTCTGTTTGTAATAGTTATAGAAAGAAGAAGCGCACATGCAGCCGTAGTTCTCCACTAGACTGCTAGCCTTGTACTTCTGCAGCCTAACGGTTCTACCATTTGGCAACTTCTGTATCAACACCTTTCTATCCCAGTCAAACTGCGGTTGCGAGACTTCGAGGTAGTACATGCCCAGTAGCATATCGAATGGCAGTTCGTCGCTAATCAGGAAGGAAATCTTGTGGATCACTTCCCCTCCTCCATAGGAGAAGGTGCAGGCTATGTCCTTGACATAGTCTTTCACTACCATTTGGTGCTTGTTGGCCAGCGTAGAAGCTACAGTTTTGCTAAGCCGCTGCACTTCGTCCCCTAAGCGCAGTCTATCCACACAAGCACGACTAATGAAGTTTCGTGTAGAGCCTATGTCTGCGAAGGCACCAACCTTGCGGCCACCTACATTGACCTCTACCACGAAATGTTCACCCTTTGGACCTCTACTTATCATCGCCCAAGAGTCCCTGGGGTCCTTCCCTGACCACTCAGTCTCTAACTCCTCTGGGCCTTAAACACATCTCTCGAACAGAGCGTCGGTGGGTCTAAATGTGTCTGCGGGGCGATACGTGGGTCTCTAGCCTTGGCCAACGGCTGAAGTGAGGAAGGCAACGTTACCACTTCAGCGCGAGTAAGAGCGACTAATACTCCTACTGGCCCGAGGTGTTTCCCTGTGAAGTGCTCGCAGAAGCACCGCCAGAGTTCGATGAAAGTCCCACCACCATTGGTGAGGCTACCCTCGTCAAGACTTTCTTGCCTCGGCACGTTCGAGACGTGTGGCCATAATTGCCACAGTTCATGCACGTGCCCCTAGCAACTCGGTCTCTCCACACCTCGTATTCTAAACCAAGCTTCACCCAGGCAGGTGTGCCTTGGTCGCCCTGACCCGTGGACCGTACTACCTTCTTCTTCCCGGTCCCCTAGCCTTTTCCTTTATGGTTGCCACGACTCCCCCATTCGAAGTCTCACTAGCCCCATCTTGCTCTGTCGCGTCCCCAAGGTCTGGGAAATCGTCAATCTCCGTCGTTTGACCATCATGGTCAACGAACATCAACTGACCCTTCTTCTTCCAGTCCTGGGGAAGTCTCTTCCTACCATCATGAGATGCCTGATGCGCGGATCCCAGCTTTGCCTCTATGTCCAGAGCCTTCTTACTAAAAGGAGCGAAGCTGTGCTGTTCGACATAGGCCTCATCAACCAGCTTGGTCCTTACCTCTACAGGTAGGCACCTTAGGTAGTCCGTCAGGAGAACCTGCTGGTCAAAACGCACACCAGGTACCACGAGTAAACGTTTTACGGTGTCCGTTAGCTCTCTAACATTCTTGAACCTGCGGGAACAAAGATTGTTGATAGCATCGGTGGCCTTCTGAGCTCCTTGCGGGTCATGCCACCTGTTGTACACGGACCGTACGAACTCTTCCAATGTCTGAGCCTGTGCCTAGGCATCGAAATTTTGACCATAGCCCTGCTGCTGCACTAGACCATTCAACCAGCGGGCTGCTGACCCCTCTAAAAAGGAGGCAGCCACTACAACTTCTTGCTCTGGCCTGGTGAGCTTGTGCCTCACATAAGTAGGCACAGTCCTCACCCAGGTGTCTACGTCCTCATCCTTCTTCCTATCACCAGAGAAGGGTTTGGGACTCATCAAAGGTATCTTAGGCATCCACTGCATAGGCTGCATGGGCCCAGGGGCTTGCTGCAGCGGCTGCATAATCACAGAAATGTTGCACACTAACATGGGTCTGGCTTGACAGTGGGACTGTAGTGACCACTGTCGTAGATGGTACGGCTGAGACTCTATGAACCGGACCACTAGTTGCTATTAAACCACCTGGAGGGGGCATGCCAAACATAGGAGAGAAAGTTGGTCCTGTGGCTTGCGGCATCGATGAAGGACCCGCACCTGTCGGGGGAACTACAGCAAACTGTGGCTGCCTCATCATTATACGAGGAGCCCGAAGTTCAGCCAGGATTTGTTTCTGACCTGCAACCAATTCGGCCAGCAGTTCCTGCTCGACATTCTGCGCTTCTGCCACTGATAGTAAGGCATTACGCAGCACACGGACAACAGGGTTTAACGCCGCCTCATCCAGCCCTTCCAGTCTACCTAGCTCCTGCACTCTACTTCCTAGTCTAGCCTTTCTAAGTATTGTTTTTCTTCTCCTCTCTGCTGCTTCGTCCAACTGCCGCTGTAGCTCATCATTAAGTTCTTCTGCTTGCCGGATTTCTAAATCCTCCGGCGTGAGTTGAGTGTGCCAACTGACACGCAAGCTAGCAGTCTGGCTAATGGACCCCTAAGAACCACTCTGACTGACTCCTGACGAAGTGGACTGTGAAGAGGTTTGCGACATAGCAGATGAAGTAGCCATGGTTGCACCGGTGCTAGCTGAAATTCTAGTCCTGGCACTATGCTCAGCTGCCCTCGCTCTTCTTGCCGCTGCTCTCTCTCTAGCCTCTCTCCGCAATCTTCTCTCGTCTCCTGGACCTAACTCCAAGAATGTCAACGGTCGACTACGGGCAGTCCCACGAGTAGTCCTACAGTCGTCCACTAACAACTCCTCCTCACTAGTGCTTGCATCACTCATGAGCCACAGTGTGTGTGATTTAAACTAGAATCCACACTGAATCCTACCTTAGCCCGGCACACAACCGAGTATAATACACAACTGATTTCGGTCGGCCTGAACAAAAACAGTTAGGTGATGTCACAAGAACTAATGTCAGATCCTACATGAAATATTATATCGACTTTTAGATTACCCTAGAACAGATTGCTATACAGCAAAGATCTAATGCGTTTGTAGTTGTCTGTCAATTGTTAGGCAAGTCTGTAACAACTAGATAATCAAAAATAAAAATAACATCTCATGTTGGAGATGTATGCTTGATGGCCGATTGTCTGATTTGCCACTGCGAACAATTACCGGAATCCCCCCTCCCCCTGTATCCTTCTTGAGTGGTCTCTTTGTGTCAACGTCCTGAGCATCTGGTTGAGCAGTGTGTCTGAAGGTGTGCAATCCGGCCCACCCCCGTGCCCCAAGTCAACGCCGAACCTGCCAGCCCCTGCACTTTTATTTACCCTCGCATGCGACGAGCCTTACACCCGGTTGATCTGGCTGATCAGCCCCCATCTCCTCAGGAATTATTTAACGTCGCAGACAGGACGACGATCACAGCCAGATTCAATTCCGAGTCCCCAGCCAGAAATGTTTAAAAACAGTCTGGTAAGTGTCTGTCAAAGGGCTGGCATGCCCTGCATGACCTCTATTGCGCAAGCAGCAGAACCAAGGACTTGCGGCAAAGCATGCGTGTACTAGTCCCAGCGGGTCGGCATGATGACCGTGACCCGAGTGCTTCATCCAGGGCCCTTCAGAGGCTTCGCCCGTCTCCCACCAGCTTGCTGCCCAGGAAGAATGTCGCTCGCGACACCTCACATCGAGAGGACTCTCAAGACAGAACTCACTTCCTCACGGTAAGAAGTAACGAAGAGGGTAGATAAGGAAGAGAGCAACGTACCTCATAAATGCTGGCCCCAATCACAAATTTCTCACCGGCAACCGGATGTGCAATTATGATGACCGGTCTTTGCCTCGACACAACCATCAGCAGAATGCAGTTCCACCTCGGCTTAATATGCCACATCAGCGAGCTCTCATCATCCAACATACACCCCGTATGTCACCACATAGCTCCCTGGCGCGCCCACACTACCCTGGGCCGCCTAATGTTCAACGCCAATGCCTTATTACTGCCCCACACCTCATGCGAAGCACCAATAGCTATTGCGAAGAACCAATGAAGCGCAATATGAACCAGCTCCGATACCAAATTGCAAGGAAAATAAGCAACAGCAAGATGACAAATCCAGATTACACCATCACATAAAAACCCAGATAGTCACACTGTGTCCAGAGAGCAGCATTGCACCAATAATACACCAATGGAGGTTCGTAGTACTCAAAACCAATGTCATGAAGAGCTTTCTCTCTCCCTTAGCAACACAAGAGTCCAGTCCCTTCACACTCCTACTTGGCGCCCATCGCCCAGCCTACTCCTACACAACTACGATCAACCTCATAATAGACAATGCGACTGTTGACATCAGCGGCAACCCGAAGTACTTGAAGATGACGCCCATATGCTGACCATCACCGATACAAGGCAAGTGCCCTCACATCATCATCATCATCATCATCCTTCGCCCTTCCATGACTTAACACCCACACCTGTCCTCTCTTGCACCCGAAGACCACCCCTGCGCCTCACTGTGTATCCAAGTCGAGCCCGCTATGGAGGCTGACTATGGCGCTGCTGAGGGCAGCGCCCTGCTCCCACACACGACCGCACATGCACAGCCTCTTGCTCCAATGCCGGCAGCCAGCCCGCAAGCGATCGCTCCGGCAGCGCTGCCACCAGCCAGCAAGTGACCGAATGCCGCAGCCAGGGCAGAGCTCTTTCCTTTATGGAAAGAGTTGGCCTGCTCGCGCAACCTGGCTGCATTGGCCTTGGCCCAGAAGCTTTCGGAAGGCCCCAGGAGGCTGCCTGTGTACAGCAGCTACTGGGCTGCTGGGCCTCGTTCGATTGGGCGCCCAACTGTCTCTGTATGAGGCTGCGAATCACGCCTAGGGCCTACATTCTTTGGAAAAGCCCGGAAGGCCGTGGAAATGTCTGTGTTGCCCGGCCTGAGTTTCTTTCAACCAACTGGCGCGTCGCAACTACCTGGACCCCAAATATGAAATTGACAGTCGGGGGCCTCTTGCCTTATGTCAGGCCCGCCTTCACTTAGGGCGGCACCTCCACCTTCACTTAGGACGGGCAATGCTGCAAACAGGGCCCCATAGGCCTACCGAGGACCCAGATCTTCGCAAATTTCTCTTCGCCAAATTTTATTCCATTTGAAATTTACGTTCTGATTTTAATTTTCTTTCCCTAAACTTTGCCCCCAAATTTTCATTCCCCCCCTCCTCTCATGACAACTTCCTCTAACCCCGATTTAAATCAACCATCGTTTTTCTAAATCAGGATTAGAAACCACTCCCACATGCCACCCCGCCAATCCAACACTTCCCAACGCGCCGCCGTCGACGCCGCTGCTGCCGCCGCTACTGCCACCTCCGCCGCTGTTGTCACATCCGTTGTCCCCTCCACTCCATCTTCTCCCTCTGCCCCACCTTCGTCCCTCCCCATGGCCAAAGGCACCTCAAGCATCAACATGGGCTCGCTCCGCATAGATTCCGTCGATGATATCCACCGCGAGCTTGTCGACCAGCCAGGCACCGGGGATAACACATCTCTCCTCTCCATGTTTCAAGCACTCTCTGCCTCGCTCCGCAGAATCGAGGCCTCCATGACCTCCATATCCGATCGTGTCACCTCCCTCGAAAACCACACACCCGCCATCACGTCGTCACGACATCATCACCCCCCTCCTCCTTCGGCCAATCCATCCAATCCACCCCCGCCGGCCAAACCGGCCAACCATCTTCTTCCGGCCAAAATAGCCAACCCCCCTTCCTCCAGCCAATCTGGCCAAAGCCTCTCTGTCGGCCAAGCCGGCCAGGCCTCATCCTCCAACACCAACCCCCCACCGTCCTCCACCACACCTTCTTCCACCCCCGTCACTTCCCTTCCTGTTTCCCTCCCCTCCTCACAACCTACTACAAGCGCTTCCACCACTACACGAACCACTCCCCTTTGCCTCTCCTCCCCCCTCACCCAACCTCTCCTAACTACTTCCACCATCCCCTCTGTCCACCGCTCTTACTCCCAAGTCCTTTCGGGCGTTTACCCCGCCATACCCCAACCTCCTCCTTGGTACCTCCTTGGTGACCGCAGTCAGGATCACACCTACTACGACACCTCTCCCGACGACCGCAACTTCAACAACCTCGCTTGCATCATCCCCCGCAACGGGGACATTCCCTGCTCCTTCCGCGCCACCGATATCGCGACGTTCTCCGGCCTCCCCCACGAGGACGTCCTCCTTTTCCTCTCTCAAATTCAAAATGCCTTCGACCTCCACAGCATGCCCCTCTCTCATTGGCTCCCCACTGCAACCTCCCGCCTCCACGGCGCTGCTGCTCAATGGTGGTTAACCAAAGCCAACAACCGTCGAGCCAACGACCTTCCCCGCATCACCTTCCTTCAATGGGCCGACCTTCTCACCGCCACCTTCCGTCCACAAAAGACCATCGATGACTACATCAATCAATTTTGCAACCTCCGCCAAACCAGCCCCACCGAGCGATTCATCCATTACGTTCGCTCCCTCCGCCTCCACATCCCGTTGACTCTCATTCCCGACTACGTCTTCATCTCCCTCATCAAGCGGGTATGCTTCCCCCACCTCGCCACAGCCCTCACCCATGAGCCCAAGCTCCCTCTCACCGATCTCCTTACCCGCCTTCTCCACCATGATCGCCTTCCTCACCTCCGCTCTCAACGACCAGCCGCCCCCAACCACACCCGGTTTTTCCACAACATGGTCTCCGACGACGGCTTTGATTCCTCTCCCGAGTCCCTTGACCCAGCCCAATTCACCGAGGAAGACTTCCAGGCTGTCCATCTCATGAGGATGGAACGGCAACGCCTGGCCTCCCAGCCTTCCTCCTCCCCCCAACCCCCTCGTCTCAAAAAGCTCACCCCTGCCGAACGCGCCTTCCTCCAGACCAACGGCGGTTGTTTCCGTTGCCGCCAGCTAGGGCATCAGCAAACCAATTGCCCCAACGCCGGCCGCTCCACCCACCAAGCTTCCCGCCCCACCGGATCCAGCCCTCCCATATCCACTTCCTCCTCCTCCACCGCGGCCTCTGGGCCCTCCTCCACTTGAACACTGCCCCCCGCCCCTTATAGCCATGTCCTGGCATCAACAATTCGTCTGCCGGCGACGACTTTCACACCGGACACCCCCCAGGCGTCGCAGTCTACTCCGCCTACCCTCATCCCGACGACGTCCTCTATTCCGTCGGCTGAGCACCCCACGACCACATGTTCCACTACCCTCCTCCCCAACCCCTCCACCATCACTTTCTCCGATCTCGTTGAGGAACAAGACCGACACACTCGGCTTGTTAGATTAGGCCTCGAGCAGCGCCGCCTCAACGCCATGATCTCCTCCGGTTGTGCCGAGACCGCCCAGTTCCAGCTCAAGTTCATCGTCGTCTCCTTTGGAGCATCGACGGTGAAGTTCCGGGCCCTTCTCGACATCGGTGCCACCGGCAACTTCTTCACGGATGTCTGTGTCCGCAAAGCCGGCCTCTCTTCCACCGGCTATGATTCCCCGATCACCATCCGCCTAGGGGATAAGGACTCGGCCATCGTCGTCGACCGCACAGTCCCCGAGACCACAATGATTGTCGGCCCTCTTCGCAGTCAGGTCTCCTTCGATGTCATGCACCTCATGTGCGACACCGAACTCGGGACTCCTTGGCTCGACCGCTACATGCCCTATACCTTCCACCCCTCTTTCGTCCGCCTCTCCACCCCTCCCGATCCACCCCTTGACATCCCCTACCTTCTCCCTCCCTCCACCTCTTCCCCCGTCTCTCCTCACCAATTTCTTCACATGACTCGTGAGCACCCCGACTCCGCCTACTATTGCCTTGTCATTGACCGCGACCGTCCCGAGGACTTGCTTCCAACGGACAAACCCGACCAAGACCCCCCCTCCAACCCTCAGATCTTCGCCCTCCTATCCAAATTCAAAGACGTGTTTCCTGAATCCTTGCCCGCCGGAGTACCTCCCGACCAAGGTGTTTCCCACACCATCGATCTCGAGCCCGGCCACTCCCCCCCTTGCCGCCCCCCATAACAACTCTCCGTCCCCGAGGCCGAAGAAATGAAGCGCCATCTCAATGAACTCCTTGAAAATGGATTCATTAAGCCTAGTTCCTCCCCCTTCGGTACCAGCTGTCTCTTCGTCGAGAAAAACGGCACCTCGGAACTCCGCATGTGCACAGACTATCGCGCCTTGAACCAGATCACGATCAAGAACAAGTATCCGCTTCCCCGGATATCCGAACTCCTTGATCGCCTCCGTGGAGCCAAATACTTCACCAAGATCGACCTCCGCAGTGGCTTCCACCAGATCCGCATCCGCGAGGACACCCACAAAACCACCTTTCGCTCCCGCTTCGGGCACTACGAGTTTCTCGTAATGCCTTTCGGTCTCACCAACACTCCCGCCACATTCCAATCCACCATAAACCACATCTTTCGCGACCTCCTCGAAGTCTGTGTCGTGATCTACCTCGACGACATCCTTGCTTTTAGCCCCACCTTCGAGTCCCACCTTGATCATCTCCGCCAAGTTCTCGCCATCCTCCGCGACCAGAAATTCTACGCCAAGCTCAGCAAATGCACATTTGCTGCCTCTAGCGTAGAATACCTTGGTCACATTGTCTCCACCGACGGCATCCGCATGGACCCCAAAAAGGTTTCTGCCCTCATCGAGTTCCCCCCCTCCCACCACTTTAACCCAACTTTGCTCCTTCACTGAACTCGCCAACTACTACCGCCCCTTCATCTGCAGCTTCTCCGACGTTTCCTACCCTCTCCATGAGCTCACCCGTGCCACCAAACCCTTCGCTTGGACCGACCGCCGCCAAGCCGCCTTCGACAAACTCAAGGAGCTCATCACCACTGCCCCTGTCCTCAAAATCGTCGACTCCCCTCGACACTTCTTCGTCACCACGGATGCCTCTGACTTTGCCATCGGGGTCGTCTTATCCCATCACTTTCCCCTCAACCCCGCGGAAACCCCCTCCATCAAGGACTCCCCCACTCACTCCCAATGCCCACCCGGCGAGCACCCCATCACATTCGCCAGCAAGAAACTCCTTCCCGCAGAAATGAACTACCCATCCAACGAGAAGGAGCTCCTCACCGTGGTCTACGCCCTCAAAGTTTGGCGCCTGTACCTCGACGGGCAATACTTCACCATCTGTACAGATAACACCGTCGTCTCCTCCATTTTGACCAAGAAAGACATATCACCCCTCGACAGGCCCGCTGGCTAAACTTCCTTGCCCAGTTTACCTTTACCATTTGTCACACCCCTGGCAAGAGCAACCACGTTGCCGATGCCCTCTCCCGCCGCCCCGATCACAACCCCCCCGAGAAAGTCTATGCCGCCATGACCCATATCCAGCTCCTGCCATCGCTCCGCCATTGCTACACCCAAGGATACCTCTCTTGCCCAGACTTCTCCACCATCTATAACAAACTCCGCGACCTCGACCCCGTCCCCGAGACCAAAGGCACTCGCCGACTTTGCATCCCTGACGCCTGTGGCCTCCGCACCCAGCTCTTGGCCGAGCACCACGACGCCAAGACCGCTGGCCACCTTGGTTTCCAGAAAACCTTTGACACCATCTCCCGATATTTCCATTGGCCTTCTATCCTTGCCGACGTCAAAGCCTACATCCGCTCGTGCCCCACATGTCAAGCTGTCAACCCCTCGAACCGGGCCAAACCCGGTAAGCTCCAATCATTGCCCATCCCCACACACCGATGGCAGTCCGTTTCCATGGACTTCGTGTGCGGTCTTCCCAAGACCGACCGCAAGCATGATTGCATCTACGTCATTGTTTGCGGCCTGACCAAACGTGCTCATTTCATTCCTTGTACCACCTCGCACAATGCCAAAGACTGTCATTCTCTTCTTCGACCATGTCGCCCGACACCACGCCCTCCCCGAGAATATCATCAGTGATCGCGACCCCCGCTTCCTCTCCCAATTCTGGAAACAACTCTTCCATGCACTGCATTCCACCCACAGACCGACGGACAAATCGAGAAGATGAACGATACTCTCCAAAGAATCCTACGAAAGTATTGTCATCCCCACCAACATGATTGGGATCAGTTGCTCGCCGCCGCCGAGATTGTCTACAACAATGTCGTTTGCCCATCCACCGGCATGTCCCCCTTTTACCTTGACCTTGGCTATCACCCCCGCTTGCCCTCTGATTTCCTGCTCCCCTCGCAACTCAACCCATCCTCCCCCTGACCCTCTCTCAATGAATGGGGGTTGCAACAATGAACCGTCTCCTAAGAGAAGCAACCGAGTCAATCCAACACACCCAGGAACAACAAACTCAACAAGCCAACAAGCATCGCCGTGATATCACCTTCCAAGTAGGGGACAAGGTCTGACTCTCCGCCAAACGCTTTGAAACCGAACAGGGCTTGTCCAAGAAACTCTCAAACAAGTGGCTCGGTCCCTTCCCCATCATTGAACAAACCTCCCCCATTAATGACAAACTCCAGCTTCCCCCTGACATGAGCCGTGTCCGCCCTATCTTCCATGTCGAATACCTCAAAGAATACCATGAATCCCCGCCACAGTTCTCTGATCGCCCTCACCCTTGTCCCCCTTCTATCATGCTCCCCACTGGACCTGAATTCTCCGTGGAATCCATCATTGGCCGTAGAACAACCCAAGTCGCTGATCACCGGAACCAATCAAAGAATACAAAGTCAAGTGGACAGGCTACCCGGATGAAGAATCAACATGGGAACTCCTTGAAAATCTCAAGAATGCCATGAGACTTGTCCGTGCCTATGATCGTTCCCACCCTGCATCCTAGCTATCCCCCTGCCTATACCTTGGCTAAAACCCTGAACCCTTGCTTAAACCCTGCTACAACCTCGCCACCTTGTTCGACACACACCCCTGCTACAGCCACCCTTGCCCGTGACCCCGATTCCTGATGTCTGATCTGGCCTTGTCCCTTGCCTAGCCCTGCCCCATTCGCCCTCCCCACTTCCTTGTCCATCTTGTCCAATGCTTGTGGACCTGCGTGATGCCAACGATAAAGGATCTAATGGCATGCGCACGAGGACGATGGCTTGCTGCACCACTGTTCATGGAGATTATGCAGCTGGATTGGCCACCATGCTGCTACACCTGGCCGGCGCCCTGCCTCGCAGACTCCCTGGAGCAGCTACTTGTGACATAAACCATGTACCAGTCCGCGACTTCCTTGCTACCGGATCAGACTCCACTGCAGATCATGTACCGGACGTGCCCACAGCCATCGAACATGGACCTCTTGACTTTCCACGCATCAACACTCAACTTCTTGTTTCTCCTTGATGAAGACCATTGAAGACCCCCCTTGTCGCTGACCAAGACCTTTGCAGTTCGCCTTGCTTCTATCATCGACCTGACCAAGACCTCCTTCAAGACCCCTATTGCTGCCGCTGACCTGGGACTGCCCAAGACTCCCGAAGACCCCTTCTTGCTGACGATCAAGACACTTGAAGACCTCCCCCAGACCCCGTGACCCATTGCAGACCTCCAACCCTATACCCACATCCCATCAAACATCCCAGCCCTTGTACATGCAAACTGTGCCCTTGAACCCTGCAACAAACAATTTTATTTTTTCTTATTATTATTTTTCTTTCATCCCCTGACAACCTATAACCCTGAAATACCCGTTCCCCCTTGTAGAACATCCATAGGAAACCCTGTTACCTGCTCTCCCTTGTAGACCATCAATAGGAAACCCTATTACCTCTTCACCCTTGTAAACCATCTATAGGACTACCCTGTTCCCCCTGCAGCACCCCTAGTTCATCATTAGCAGATCCCTGTTTCCCTAACCATTGTTTCCCTTACCCAGTAGAACTTCAATAGAAGTCCCCTGTTCCCTGAACTTTGTTCCCCCTTAACCTATAGCAAACCATGCAGTCCCCCTAGTTCATCAGTAGGACAACGCTGTTCACCGGTACCAAAACCTGTTCCCTCTTACTCATGCAGCCCATGCCACCCACATTATACCCCTCTTCCCTTTCGACTTGTTAACCAGTGATCGGCCCCGTCCCGTCCTTCACAGATTCCAACATTGCTTCATGATTTTTGGCAGCTGGGACGTTGCCTTCTAGATGGAGGGGATAGTGTTACGGACTCCGCCAGGGCTCGATCCCTGGTCTATCTTTTTGTTCTTTCGGCTGCATCCCGTTTTCGGCCTGTCACCCTTTTTCCAAACCCCTCCTTTGGTACCGTAGGATTTTGGACAACTGGCGCCATGCTGCAATTCGGGCGCCACTTTCAAATACCGCATTTTTCAGTTCTGCCCTCGAGGCCTTTGCAGAAATGACCCCGGTACCGTACGTGTCACCGGTGTCGGGACAAATACCCTGACAAGGGTATTTGCCGGGGGTTTTCGAAGTCGGACGCTGTCCGACCCTTTCGTTGAATTGGAGGACTTTATGAGACTGATGTTTGCCAAAGTTTATTCAGATCAACCCAAGTGACTAAGACTTTTTGTGAATCAGACGTCGTTGGCGTCTGACTGAAATGAATTTAGTTGCCAATATGGCGGGTCGTTAGCAGTTCTTGATAGGGCCGCAGGGGCACGCGGCCATGGAAAGACCAAAGCTAAACTATTCTATCTAAAAGGCTGACGCGTGCCTGTTAAGACGTGCAATTCAGGGGTTTAGTAGGTCAAAAAGGTGGTCGCGTCAGGGGTCAGATCCGCGGCGCGAGAAAATTAGGAAGGGTTTTTATTTTTTATTTTTTTTAAGGGTCGCGGGGGTACCGCGTACGCAGCTAAGGCTCATGAGCTAGACCAAGCCACTGGGTCAAGACGCCGTCGGCTCGGCGGCAATGCGGCTGGCTAACGGGAAGTACGGCAGGCCGAGCCTGCTTCGGCTGCAGCAGATAGGCCTACGGGGGGTCAACTCTTCTTATAGAAGAGTTGTGGGCTTAGCTTCTGTGATAGGAGTTAGCCCAGTAGGTACCGCCGTCAAACTTTTGCCTTGTGGATGCCGCAATCGAGTCCCGATGACATCACCATTGGGCTAGCTCCTTTTGGAGCAGTCCTGAACTTTTAGCGCAGCCGTTTTCGGCCGTGCGGTCATTCAGATCGCGCGGTTGGCACGCATAAATCGAGAAATGGCCCAGTTTTTGTTCGATCCCTATGGGAATTGAACTCGGGTCTGCATATTGGGAGGAAAGGAGGGGCGCCAGCAAAGCGTGGCGGGAGCAACTGTGGCCG